GGCGGGGGCAGGCCCCCACCGACCTCTGCCCCACAGGAGCCCATGTGCCTGGGCCCTGTGTGGGCACAGAACAGCTGGCAGTGCGGTGTGCATGTGCGCCTGTGTGGGAGCTAATCCCAGCAACATCTGCCAGGCAACAGGTCCCGGGAGTTCCAGCTGCGATGCATGGAGGACACGTGCGCGGGGTGGCTGGTGCATGCCAGGGCTCCCCAGGCAAGGCAAAGGCTCTGCAAGGGTGGGTATGTGCCTGCACACGTGTCCGCTGTGGTCAGCAAGGTCCCAGGAGAGGACAAGTGACAGTGGAGACCCCAGCGAGCCCCTCTGGGGACCTAGCAGGTGGAAGTGGGGGTTTTGGCTGGGATTTACCGAACCTGGTGTGGTTCAGAGCAGCCCCAAAGGGGAGATGCTTTGAGAGGGAAGGGGGGTATTTGCATCCTTGCCAAGGACAATTTCCCAGGGAAATGAGGCTGGGGGAGAAAGGGGAGGAAAAAGGAACGGTGGTGCTGGGGGGTGGGGGGAACAACACGCTGCCCCTGATCTAATCAGCCAGACCCTGCAAATAAAAGCCACCTGTTTAGGCCCTGGTAGCAGGAAGCCATCCCCAGAACAAACAGAGCGCCAGGCAACTGGGAGAAAGACAAACAGGGGCTGGCACCAGCTCCATCTGCTCCTGCTCAGAGGAGGAGCACCAAGAGGTGACAGTGCAGCCCCCAGCAGGGTTGGGGGCAAGGAGAGAGGGGCTACCTGGGCTCAGGAGGGCTAGCGAGGACTCAGCCCATGGTGTCGGCCAGATGCAGGACTGCACACAGCTGTGCTGTCTTGGCCAGCTAGCCCAGGTACTAAGCAGTGGGAAGGACAGCGTGCTGCCATGAGCAGCCCCAGATGAGTCCCAGATATATCACCAGCATCACACAGTGCCTGCCTCACCTCCCTCGGGGCTCCCCAAGCCATGCACCATGCCGGGAGCAGCACCTGCACAAGGCATGGGGTATATCCACAATGGCTGGGGACCATGGACACCATGGTCTGGGCTTGGTGTGGGACACTTGGACAATCCAGTCCCCTCAGCATGCCATGGGCTGACAGCCACCTACGCTGTGCCTGGTGGCACAGAGAAACCAGATCTGTTTTGCTAGCGCAGGGAACAAGCTGAGCCAGGAGCAACGTGGGGTCCTTATTAAATTAGCCTATGCAGGAGGCCCTGGGCAGCGCCAACCAGCTCCTAGAGCCAATATTAGCAGCTGCCCTTGAGCAGAGTTGCTGCCTGCCCCTGCCCCAGCCTCCCCCTGCCCCTCTGCCCAACTGGGGAGATT